AGTGTGGGCAGCCGCCAGCCCGGCCGGGAGCCGGGGAGTGGGGGCAGTGCCCTCCTCCCTTCTCTCCTCGCTCCTGGGCAAAGCACCTTTTCCGGTTCCTTTGTCCCAGCTTAAATAGGGCAATTCGCAGAGGCATTGATTGGCTCAACCCCGAGGGGGATGGGAGTCCGATCTGCTGGCCAGAACCGGGTCTGACCCGGTTCCAAAACCAGGGAGGTCACAGGGAGCAAATCCCCTCTCCTGCCACCAGAATCCCCCCCCCATCAAACAATCACAGTAGGGCAGAGTGGAGAGCTGTTGCGGTGGCATCTCGCATTTCCACGCATGATTTGCCAGCGTGTCTGTAGAGCTGTCTGTGTGCTGTTCACAGCTTCCCCCACCACTTAGATGCTTCTTCCCTTTGACATATTCTCAGGCTTCAGCCTGTTGTTATACCACTCGCATGTCTAGCCCAGCTGGCATCAGCATCCCGTGCCGGACCGCATCAGCTCCCAGGAACACATGTCCAGTTGAAGACTCCTCAGTTTTCCCAATGAGATTTTATTAATGTGTAGGAGGATGTAAGCAGATGCCCAGCACATGGGATTGAAGAGCTCATCTACTGATAGATGGACTAAACCTTCCCTAGCAATACAGGTATTGGTACTTCCGAGTATAAGTCATATTAGTACATTATATGATGTTGCCTATGTTATCAAAAGCCACAGCAACCTTACTGGCCTGCTGTCTCACTGCTGCACTGAACGAGAGTGCACAACAGGAGAACCAGGGAAACTCTGGCTCTGCTCCTGAGTGATTCTGGGATGTTACTCCCCTGATGTGGAAACCACTACAGGAATTTGACAGTGTACAGACAGAAACAATTTAATTCAAAAAGGTAAGAAGTAGCAGTGGCAGCACCAGTCATCTTGAATTCCCTGTATTTTATGATAGATGAGGCCCAAACTCATATTGGGTATCCACGTATTTCTGGAAGGTGGCATTTTCACAATGTTTTTTTCCCCTAGCACAGCCAGGCTGCAAGCCTGCATGCAGTGGGCAATTTTGACACACCTGCAGAAGGGGGTGCAGGACCTTCTCCTGCCTGTGGCTCAAGTTGCAGATGTGTTTCTTCAGTGGCAATATCATTTTAAGCAGCATTTGGTTGCAGGCACTTACTGTACCAGGCACTTACTGTACCTACTGCAGTACCTACTAGACCATCTGGTCCAAATGTTGCTGTAGCTTCATGGTAAACCAGATAGGGAAAATTCATCCTGGTTAAAATAAGCCCAGCAAGACCCCCTCAAAAGAACAGTGTCTCAGAAGAATGAGCATGGGCTGTGAGGAAGGGTGGGAGGGAGGAAGGAGAGCTCCTTTCAACAGCATGGACTGGGAATCTACGCTCTGAATAGTATGGGAAGAAAAGCAGGAGAGATGGAATAAAAATGAGGCAGAGGCAACAGGGAAAAGTAATGGCCTCAATCTCTGATTTTTGTTTCAGATTGCTCCTATCAATAGTTCTTTTCATTTAGAGCAGGGATGGAAAAATTGCTTTGATCGAGAGAACGTCTCCAAACTTCTCTTCTCACAGTCCAAATCTTGTGCTCTAATCACGAAACTCCCTGAGCAAGGGCTTACTTAGATCATGTTGTGTCATAAGTAAACTTAGTGGAAACTATCAGCTGGGATTTGAGTGTAGGCTTGTGAGGAGCTCCAGGGATACTCTCCAGTAAAAGGATGTTCTTTTCCAAGCCTGATCAGAACCAAACAGACGCCCAGGAAAATAACAGATTGCAATTCCAGGTACGCTTCCAGATCAAAGATCCTCAAACATATCTAGAGTGACTTTTCTAAGGTTTTCTTCAGTAAATGATGAGAATAGTTAGGAAATATTTCAGTCTAGTAATCCTCTAAAGGGGCCTGCAAAATCTAACCTTTGATAAGTGTGAAGATCTTCAAAATTAGAAGAAACACTACCACTCTGACGTCACGCTGCCCTCCCAGAGCAGTCATGCCTGGCAGCCTCTTGCAGGGCTCCGTGGCTTTAATTTACACATCACTCCATCTAGTGGCCTGAAGGTTCCAGCATCCACAAGTTTAAAACTCTGCCCTGGTACCAGCTGGAATTCAAACCTCTGCAGCAGTTTTGCCATCACTACTTTTGCCTCCATCTGTTTGGAAAAAGGAAACTTATCATCAGTGACAGCAAATACAGCTTAGACTGCAGCTACTTAAAGTCAGTGCTTTACATCATGCTGCTTTGTCAATATAGAGATTTAAAACTTAAATGTTACTCTTAATGGAGATGACTGAGATTGGGCAGGAAGAACAGAATTACCTGGGGCTTCCTGGATTTGAAGACAACCGACAGGCACAAATATCTGTCCCTATGTTAACCCCGTTACGGAAATCAGAGGTAAAACTGAGCACTTTAGCCTGAAGATTTTGAGCACTGGTGCTTAGGTGAACTCAACAGCACAGACCTGAAGAGCTGGCCTCCTACTGTCCTTCTGAAATGCTCTTTGCTGTGCTCAGGTAATCACATACTTCATTAGATTGTTCCTCCCATCCTCACCTTCTCAGTGCCTGTCCTGGCTTGTGCCCTTCTGCCAGCTGATGTTTTCCCTGCCTTGACTCTGCCAGCTGCAGCCACAGGATGGTCCCCAAGAGCCCCTGCACACCACCTGCGTGTCTGACCTCGGCGGGGAAAGGTATGTTGACTGCGATTCCCATCAAGGGGCTTGGATTCAAGCAGGATGACGCAGGACAGCTCAGAGGGAGAGCAGCCTGCTGCCCCCTTCCCTGCAAGCACCTTGGCTGTGTGCGGGCATGAGTGACAAGAGACCAGTATGGTATATGTATATCTGCTCACATGACAGTGTTTGAAAGACAGGCTCTGTCGTGGGCACCATCAGTGTAGCCTTTGGTCCTCCCCCACCAGCCATGGCCAGCACACCCTGAGCTGGCCCAGTGCTCACTACGAAGCATCATTCCAGGCCTCTGCTTACCTGGGCAAACACCTGCCCAATGCAGGATCGGGGTCCCAGAGAGAATGGAAAGTAGCAGTAATATGGCCTGCAAAGAAAAATGTTCAAATCTGTCATTCTGACAGCTTGGTTGTAAAGAAACAAGCACACATTTCATCTCAGCAGCAAGGAAATAGTCTAAACAACACTTCACCTAGCTGACTTGTTAAGACAATCTCCAAATTAACATTTTTTTGCTTCAGAGCAGCAATACAGCTCTGCAGCGAGTTTCTTCATCATCTCCAGTTACTATATGGCTCAGCTCCCAGAGCTGTTCTGATGCATGCAAACCTTATTTCAAAGCTGAACGTCAAGCATACTCTAAATGCTCTCCAGCCCATCACAGGGACGCAACGATCCACCCAATTATTGCTCCTTTGGACAGTTCTGAACCATGGGAGCAAGAGGGCGTTTGGTGCAGGAGACCAGACTAACTCTAGGCTGAAGTTAAAACCCCTGAGTCATGTAGTTAGATGCAGGGATCAGCACCATCTGTTTAGGTCACCGGTCCCTCCTCTTGCTCTCCCGCCCGCTCATTAGGCTTAGGCTGCCTGCCCATGTGGCTGAACAGCATCTTCTGTCTCTCAGCCCCTTGTCCCCTCCCTAATGTGGAGACACTTCAGGCATCCTGGGGCCAGGGCTGCCACGCAGTGAATGTCTGTATTGCATTAAGGCAAATATTCAATCAATAGGTTTCGGCCTAAACCTTGGGGTTTTTATCTCAATATAAACATTAAATAACATTAGTACTTGGGTTTTTTTGTAAGGTATCGTGTGGGGTAAAGATCTTCTGAACAGTAGCTGCGCATTATTGCTCCCTATTTGCATTTGGATAAGGCTGCAGAGTTACTCAAACTGGAATGGAAAAATAGTTTTATTCTACTTTCTTCCCCTTGAAATCTCTTCCTGTAATGGTACCTTATTACATATTTAATAACCTGAGAGTAAAAAGAAACTCACTTAGGTGCATCTTTGCTAAATCGGTCTGGATTGAAAGTGAGTGGATCCTTGAAATACCTTTCCATCCTTCCCATTATGTAAGTGCTGAACTGTCAAGAAAAAGTTTATTTGCATTAGTCAGGAGCAGCAAACTGAAAATGCCTCTTTGCTGCCACAGGTACAAAACCATAACTGCCTTCCACTCGTCAGGCAAAAATGATCCAGAATCTCAATTAATACGCCAGTTTTGGCCAAAGTTTCAGAGAGGCCAGTAGAAATATGGTCGAGGAGGACTTTGGCCCTCTGATACACAGATCCATTATGTTTGGATCAACTGCAGCAGTTAAAAGCCGTTGCTGGTGGATGGGACTCACAATGAGCATCGTGTCTGCAGGAATTCTGATGCCATCAATGACGTGCTCCTTCTCTATCCTGCGTACTGTCCCCGGGACGGGCGGGTACAGCCGCAGTGACTCCTTCAAAACCTGCATCAGCAAAAAGCATAAAAGGTCAGTTAGTTAATACAGTGTAGGAAATAAAATTGATTACCTCCCTACGGCCTTTTGCTTTGCCTAAATGGGAGCTTTTGACGTATGGAATAGATGCTGCTGTATCTATCTGCCTTGGACACCTGTGGGCAAAATATATGGCTAAGTCAGCTCCTCCAGGCCTGGTCATTCTCACAACTGGTAAGATACAGAGAAAAAAAAGCAAAAAATCATACACTGAATATATCTAACATCTCAAGTCAGGTCAACAACTAAGTGAAGAATTACTGGGAAGCAAATTCAAGGGGAATATCTAAGGGAAATATCTAAGAGTGAAGTCTCAGGCCCCTGATGAGCTGTTCTTGCTGCCGGCTGCCACAGGGATGGGTGGTTGCTCCCGTCTCCTTCCCACTCCCAGCACTGCACTCCCACTCCTGCCTTTGTCTTGCTTCTGCTCAGGAAGCTGAGCCAGGTCAGAGCACCAAAATGGCAAAAAACAACCTGGCAAAGGAGAATGAATAGGGAACAGTGAGAGGAAAAAAAAACAGAATGGGACCATTTCTTTCGGTGGCAGTGAGCTGTAAGAATGGCTTATTTCATCAAAGTGAAACCTCATTAACAGTGCACATTAGCATCGCACTGCAAACGCAATTAACGGTGTGTATGCACAAGTGGATTAATGAAAAAGCAGCATGGACAAAAGGATTCAGAATTGCATGAGCGACAGGAGAGGAGTCCCATGGTCTCATATTCCAGTGATGGACTGGCTCTGACCAAGGGTGACTGTAATTTTGGTTGTACAGATCCAAGTTTTTGCTGTTAAATAAACGATCTGCTTTGAGAGGCTTTCATGCGATCTCCCTCAAAACTGAAAGGCTTAGATACCTCGTCCTAATTGGAGTGGTATAATTGTGATGGTGTTTGGAGAAGCCAGAGGAAACCTGCTGATCCTGTAATGACACCGAGATGCCTTTTCCTTATTAGAAATACACCTTTGAAAGCTATCCACTGTCAAAGCACAGTGATTTGTGAGATGGGATACGGCAAATGGTAAAACACCATCACCCACCTCGACAGGGCAGTTTAAGAGAAGAACAATCATGGCAGATTACTAAAATCACAGGGAATTTAAAGCAGGGAGAATAGCTGCCAGGACTGTGATTCAGCCTCTCCTGAGGGCTACTGGTGTCCTTCATCTTGTAAAAAAGGATATGCAACACAAATGCTGGCGAGTAGCCAAGCCCTGGCTCTGCAGTTCATTACCAACCAGCATTTCTATACACAAGACCTCTTGGAGGACCAAACTTTCCCCCCCACACCCCTCTGTCACCCCCAGAGTGACAGAAGAGAGTTTCAAGACTGAATAATGAACAACTGAAATTGCAAAAAATAGCTATTATTTTTGGATGTCCTCAAATCTCGCTGAGTTTATGGTGCCTAATGAGATCATCGCTGGAAATGCTTGAACAATAATCAACAAAAATAGAGTTGTGAGTTTGGGAAGTGCCTGGGACTCATGCACAAGTTGGACTTGAAGTTGCAAACCCTTCTTAAAATACAGCTATGGTTTCATCTTAAAGAGGTAGAAATTAAGCAACTCTTGTTCTAGCTCCCAGCTTGGTAATAATTAAAGCAAGCAGTGAAGGAATCATGGGATTTTGGAAAGAAATTCAAGCAGCATCCTTCCCAACTGGGGCTGGGCTGCTGCAAACAGCTCAACGGTACCTGCCTGCTGACTCTCTGGGGACAAACACTGTCAGGATCAAATATTGGCGTAGCTCTTAAAATCTTAAAAGTGTGGGGCTTCTTTTGGCAGTCCCATGAGACAGCAGGAGTGCTACCAAACAGCCCTGACTGGTATTTTACCTGACTCCTACAGTACCTGTGATAAGTACGTGAGTTTGCCAAGATCCTCATAGTCGATGTGTCTCTTGGCACCAAGAACTTCATCCACTTCAGCCTGAAGCCTGAGGTTAAATTAAAAAATGTTAGTTGCAGACGCCATTTCTTGCTAGGCAAGTTGACAAACCACATCTTTTACTTTCCAGACACTGAGCTGGACTTTGACTCCCGTCCTCAGGCACAATGCCTACTGATTCCCAGCCAGCCTGCCTCAACTTGTGCCTCGTATCAGGACGGAGCAATGTGCATACAGCGCGGCCGAATCAGGCGGGACTCAGGACCAGATTTGTATAAAGGCTTTGAAAAAAAACTACATAGATGGAATTGAAATTCGTCTCAAGCTTTTTTAGAATATTAAATACACTGGGACTATGAAACTTTATTTTGGAAGGCAGGCTAGAATTTATTGGGAATTGATCCTAGCTTTTTAATAATCCTTATAATTAAGTTCGCTTTGAAATTAAAAGCAAGCTGGGTTTGCAAACTGGAGCGCACGTACCTTTCCAGTATTTCAGGATGCTGAGCCAGCGCCATCACTGTGAATGACAACTGATTGGCAGTGGTTTCATGACCTAACGACGCAAAAAATTGGTTTAAAGGTCAGTATGAAATAAAAACACGATACAAAGATGGTCTACAAGTGTCACTGTGAACAGGAAACGTTAAATGTCAGGGCCTGAACGTTTAATTTTGAGTATGCTAAAAATTAAAGGAAACACTAAAAGGGATATGAATTCTATATGAGGAGCTTTCAAGAATGACGAGAACAAGACACACCTGGTAAAGATACGAGCTGTCTTGCTCAACTCTAAGCTGCCGTGGCTGCATGCAGCACCCACCGGTTATGAGCTCCCTAACAGGAGGTCAGTGAGGTTCAGTATTTCCCTTGTCATATTATCAGACACATGGTCCTGCCGAGAAGCAAGGATTTACTGGTTTTGAGGGAAAACAGAGCTTCTAACTATCTTTCTTTGAAATGGCTTCTTTTTCTGGATTGTTTTCATTTTTCCATGGATAGGTGTACGAATTACTTTGAAGCATTACACGCAAAGGTGTATTTGTTGCAATAACAATTGCAAATAACTGAAAGAACAGTGTTTTGACCTCACCTTCTTAGGAATCCAAATCCTACTGACTTGTAAGATTGATCTTTCTATGTTGTTTACCTCACATACCATCTTGGCCCCTGATTTTTCTGATGGGCTTGACAGTGCCTTCTCCGACCAGCGGCTGACACTCTTAAGGCAAGAATGGCGTTTAATTGTGTGGGTGAGGTTACGCGAAGACATGTAGAATATGTTAAAGATGCTTTCAGTGGGGTTTAGCAGGATCTGGGAGGACGGGCCAGAAGTCCGTGAGGAACAGCCTTGCACTCTAGCGGGCAGTGCTGCCTTCTGCACCGCAGGCTGGAAACCACTGGCCTGGCATTATTTGCTGTGTTGATACGACTGAAGGAGGATAACATATCACCTGCCTATGAGAAAACCAAGAGCTCTTTTTAGACCTCGCCCAGCTGATCCTACACCAGTGTACTACTGCTGTCTTCCAACCAAGGGACTCCTGGTTCCAGCAGCATCACATGGAGTGAGCAAGGACATTAATCACAATCCTGTAGACAGCCCAAGAATGAGTAGTTTCCCACACGACATATCCAAGCATTAAAATAGCTACCAACCTGCAACAAAGAAAGTGATGAAGTTATCCAGAATGTTTTCATCATCTCTAGTTTCCTCCAGAGCTGTCAAAGAGAGAAAAGCAAATGAGATTAGAAAACACCTTTGTGGCTCAGCTGGAACGATCAGAATGCTGTGCCCTGTCTTGCACATTTGGCTGAGGTGGCATCGGGAGGGGATGCTGAGTGGGCAACTCAGCGGTGATTTGCGACCAATATTTGATCCAACGCAAAGAAACAGGGAGCTTTCAAAGCAACTCTCATTATCTTCAGTGTGAAAAAACCCTCCTGAAGACATTAGAGGATCAAAGTTCAGATCTCCAAAATAAGCCTCCCCAGATCTCATGGCAAAACATGCCACAGACAATTTAACTCCAAAAGGAACGTGTCCCTTACCATCTCCTTTCAGTATCTGCGTAAGAATGTCCAGTGTGGCTTCCTTCCCGTTCTGGATGGCCTCTCTCCTCTGGTCAATGCATTCCTTCCCCACACGCCGCAGCAGCCTCACACTCTCCTTGACCTCCTTTACCAGCTTCTGATTCCCTGGCATGTACTGAATACAGAATTTCTTTAGTCATTTTATTCCTTTTGCTGGTAAAAAAATATTGCCAGGTGTTATTTTTCAAGTGAGCACCTTGTTTTCTGCTAAATGGCATTTGTCACAAAAACATCTGCTTTCCATAGAACAAAGGGAACATCCCCAAGGTGAAGGGTTTGGGCTGAAATGAGAAATATTCCAATCTGGGCATGCTGATGTCCTGCCTTGTCAGAGCTGATGTTTTGAGCGCTGTGAGCAAAATTCCTCACCTCTCCACAGAGAGAAACTGCAGCATGTGATACAGAATCTCACCTCTGGGCCCAAAAAGGAAAACAGGAGCCCTAAAAGCCTGAACTACAGCTTTCATGAGAAACTATGGAATGACTTTTAACTTAAACATTTCAGATTACATGCATAATTTCCTAGTATATGAATTTTGGTCAGAAGTTTAATTTTACATGGCAAGAAAGTTCAAATTTTTTCTGCCTAGAGTGAAGGCTGCCATCCTTCTTGGACAAATGGCAAAACCCTCAATTTTTGCAGTGACAGGTGTGAAAGCATAAAACCATGTGAGAAGACACATGCGAGGGACGGGG